AAATCTATCAAATCTTTCAAAATTCATATAAATCAATAAACAAAATCAATTAAACTCTGTATATATTTTATAAAATTTGTAAGTCCACTGAAGTTTACAAACCTTTTAAAGTCCAAACAAATTCATTAAAATCTTGATTAAATACACTCCTTAAGGGTGTGTTTGAAATAGAATTTGAAAAATAAATCATTTTCATTTATATATTTTTATTGATCTCTTATATCCAGAGGAACAGAGAGAAATTTTTACAGTATATATATTTATTATTTTTATTTTTTTGTACTATTTAATTTTTATAATTTTTAAAATTATTGTTGATGCGTTTTTTCAACAATAAAAAGTAAAATCCGAAATTAAAGAAATATCCCCGAATTTGATAGATGAATGCCTGAGAAACACTGTAGAATACATAAAATAAAATAAGGAAAATAAAATAAAAGACTGGAAAATTAAAAGTGGTGATCCCCAAAAGCAATTCTCTTGAATTTGATCTCGATTGAAGATGCCTTTTTTCGAACAGCACCGGATCCTTAAATAACCCTGTTGAAGAAACGGTTCGAACCGTTATCTGGTCGGTTACCATAACCGCCGTTAACCGCCCCAAAAGTTCTCTTCTATTGACACGTGTGTCAACCGTCCTACCACGTCTGACCTTAAAAAACCGTTCGCCAGTTGCAACTTCCTCCAACCGTTCGCCAATTGCAACTTCCTCCAACCGCCCAAGAACTGCTCTCTCACCCGACCTGCACATGCTACTTCACTGCCCGACCTCATTACACCCGATCTTATCCTGCCTCATCTCCACACCAGACCTTACCATACCCGACTTTCGAATTCGGCTTGTTTGCGCCCGACCTTTAAGCTTGTCCCGACCAAGTCCGACCTTATTGTCCGACCTTATCGCACCCGACCTTACTTGGTCCGAACTCTGCAACAACCGACTATGGTCCTGACCACAGAGCAACCAACTGTGGTCCCGACCTCGGTCCCGACTGCAGACCAACCAACTGTGGTCCCGACCACGGACCAACCGACCTCGGTCCTGACTGCAGACCAACCAACTGTGATCCCGACCACAGAGCAACCGACTGTGGTCCCGACCACAGAGCAACCGACCTGCTCTATTTGCCTTATCTCCTTAGATGGACAGACTGTCTTCTTGACAGACCGTCCGTCCATACTTCTTCCTTGCCCGACCTTCCTCTTGACAGACCTTCCCGTCTGTCCAACTTCTTTTTCTCGATTTCTGGGCCGTTTGGCTTATATCCAGACCCATCCAGAATCCTACTGCCATTAGTTATTATTATTATTATTTTTTGTGCTCAACAATTATATTATTTCAATTTTACAAAAATTACATTTAATTTATTATTCAAGTATTGAATTTACAATTTTTTTTTTAAAAAAAATATATTGAAATATGATCTTACAAAATATAGTATATAACTTATAATTTTTTTTTAAAAAAAAATCGCCAAAAATATTTTTTCATGAATTCTAACTCGCTAAAACTCTATTTTGTTAGATTAATCATTTATTCTTATCCAATCCATTCATTTTTATATATATATATTTTTCAACTGAATTCTCTATTTTACCAAACAAATTAATTATCATTCTCTACCGAATTCATTTTTTCTCCAATTCCATTCTTACTCTCGTTCATCTGCAATTTCATTCTCTATACCAAATGCCCTAAGTATAATTCATTATTTCATATTTTAGAAATATTGCAGAGCATTTGAGATATACCAAAATAAAATATTAGAGAGTGTTTGAGACGGAAGAGTATATATTCTAGATGTAGTAAATAAAAAAAAATATATAGCATAGTGGAAAACCTGTGCGATGCACGGTCTTTTTATATTTTGTTTTTTTATTTATCAAATATTTTTATAATTTTCTTTTGCATGTCTCCTTTGAATTCTTATTAAAAGAACACATCTATAATTTTCTTTTAAAAGTTAAAAGTTACAATTTATATAATCAGTAGTTATATAATTAATATATATGTATAATAGCGAATTTATTTTTTAAATTTAAATTTAACTTAATTATTTAATTTTAAAAATGAATAATAAGTATTCTACATATATATTATAGTATCATATTCTTAATAATTGTGAAATATGATAAATATTATAAATAAAAATAGATCATTTTTTTTTTAAATTTAATATTAAATATAAACTAATATAGAAATTATCTAAAAACAAATAACACGAAAACATCTGTTAATATGCAAAAAAATATATATATATTAAATTATTTATATATAGTACAAAATAATAGTAAGTTACTAACTATATTAATAATATATTAATTTTTTAAAAAATTTCAAAAAAAAGAAAAAAAGAAAAAAACTTTGGAATTACGGAATCTACCTAGCTCAAATTCTAATAAATAATAAATTACATAATCAATATATTAAATTATCTATATAATATAAAGATAATAATAATAATAAATTTTGAATTTTAATAAATATATTTATTAGCTATAATTTTATTAATTATATCAATAATACTTAATTACTTATATAATATTAATGGTAACCTATTAACTATATTAATTTATATAATTATTTTTATTAAAAAATCAAACAAATAAGAAAAGAATTTTGATCATGTTAAATCCACGCCGACCTTAAATATATATTATATAGATAATAAATTACATAATGAATATATTAAATTATCTATATAATATATAGATAATAATAATAATTTTTAATTTTAATAAATATATTTATTAGCTATAATTTAATTAATTATATTAATAATTCCTATATAATATTAATGGTAATCTATTAATTATATTAATTGATATAATTATTTTAATTAAACAAAAAAATAAAACAAGAGTTTTAATCATGTGAAATCCACACCGACTTTAAATATATATTATATAGATGATAAAGTTTAAATTTTAATAAAAAATTTATTAATTAATAATTTTATTAACTGTATCAATTACAACTATATAATATTTATAGTAAGTTATTAATTATATTTATTTTTATTAAAAAATCTAAAAGAAGAAAAAATCTTTGAAATTGTGGAATCCACTGAGTTTAAATTATAATAAATAATAAATTACATATGAATATATTAAATTATTTATATAATATATAGATAATAATAATAAATTTTGAATTTTAATAAATATATTTATTAGTTATAATTTCATTAATTATATAAATAATACATATATAATAATATATATAATATTAATGGTAACGGTAGACATTAAAAATTAAATGTCTAAATTAAATTAAATATCATGTATTTTGGAAGATAATAAAATTTTAATAATATAAATATATGATATTTGATTATTCATATATGTTAATTTTTGTACATAAATATCAACTATTAATGCAAAAATCTGTTTAAAATGGAAGATATCGTACAAATATTACGTGTATAAATAAAATCATAATAAATTTAGCAGCAAAATAAATTAATCTTGTCAATAAAAGAAGTATATAAATTAATACATTTCAAAAAAAGGCAATGATATAAAAATTTTGTCAATAAAGAAAATATATAAATTAATATCTTCCAAAAAAGGTAATGATATAAAGATCTTGGCGAGAAAGGAATGTACACAATCATATCCGTCAAGAATGAAAAACGACATCGGATGGAAAATGAAAGATTACAAAATCTTTATATTGGCCAATCAGGACGCGCCACGTGGCACCATCTAAAAAGGAAGCCAAGCTACCCTCCCCTATAAATAGGAGTCTTGGCCAATTTGAAGACTCGCGCAAGGGTAAGTCTCTTTAGACTCTCTACAATGTTCTTCATTGTTTTTTGTGTCATTCGAAACGTTTTTCGTCGAAAAGTCACCGATTTGGACAAATGATCCAATATTGGTTGACAAATCGATGAAAAGCCCTCTAAAAGGCGACAAAGTCAAACGGAAGACCAAATCCGTTCGGATCAAAGAAGTCATCCAAATCCAAGTTGGAAAAATGAATTGACCTGGGAAGAGAATCAAAGGATCCGAATAGAGAATATGACCCACATATAATTTGTACGGTTTTGTGTTTATCAAAATATAACACAATTTTTTTTTGTCTACAATAACCATATTAATTGGTATAATTATTTTTATTAAAAAATCAAAAAATAAAATAATTTTTTTTGATCGTGTGAGATCCATAGCGACCTCAAATATATACTCCATCCGTCATGCTAGAAAGTATATATATTTCTATTTTGGGACGTCTAATTACAAAGTAAACATTTAATTAAATACTTCATTTTTTTTCACAAATATCCTTATTTTATATCATATCATTAATTTTACACCCAAAAATAAAAATAAAAATATCATTACACTACTTTTAACTACCCACTATAATTAAAATACTATTATTTCATAAAGATAAGCCAAAAGTAATTGTATCCGGAGGGAGTATTGTATAAATAGATTATTATTACTAGTATTATGATTATAATAGTATTATATTAACATGTAATATTAATAAAATAGAATGATTAAAATAATTTTATTAGTATTGTATAATATAAAATTAATGATATATGTTTGTAATATATTGTAAATTGGATATTTATAACGATAAGAAATAAGAAATGAACAGGACTGAAAAATAGTTTGTTAAAGAAACGGGAGCGAGATAGTATACTTCAAAATATTTACCACATTACACACAGCCGCCACCAGGTTATTCCTCTCACTTCTTCCCCATTCGTTTCTTTCTTTCGTTCCTTTTCCTTCTTCTTCTGTGCCCATCCTGCGACCGGTGAGGTTAATATACAAGTATTTTTTTTTTTTATTTCTTTATTTTTATTATATAAGAGAAAAAACTGAATCGCCGGTTCGAACCTGCGGTCTACGGTTCCGAGAGAAGAAACCGAACCGTTTGAAAACCGGTTTCGGTTCGATGGCGGTTCCAGCCGCCGTTGCGAAACCGACTGGGCAAGTCTACTGCTGATCGGCCTGTGTTCATCTTATTTCGTCGGTTGTGCTGCCATCGTCTTTTTAAGTTGAATCCTTCCATTCCTTTTATTTTGAAAGAGAATAACTTGTGTTGAATCCTTCAATCATTTGCAGCTATATTGATGTCTTTACTGTTTTTGGTTATTTGAATCCTTGTTGTGTTATTCTGTTAAGAGAAGCAAGGAGGGTGAGAGTCTTACGACCGCTTGCATAAATTTTGACATGTTTACAGTTTCTGACTCAATTTGATTGCTGAAAGAGAAGCAAACTTTGGTGGTTATTGCTTTGTTATTCAATGTTGTTTAAATGGCTGAAATAGAACCAAATGTGACAATCTTTCAGGCATTTGCAGGCTAGTGCAAGTTTGGTGTTTACTGTTTTGTTATTTGATATTGTTAAATGATTGGAAGAGAAGCAGGTGCCATAATCTTTCAAGTGTATGTAGGCTGCAGCAATTCTGGTGTTACTGTTTCGATATTAATCATTCAAGCATTTGCAGCGATTTTGGTGTTTACGATCTCATTATTTAATGTTTTTAGAGTGAAGACATACGCTTCAGATGTCACTCCCAGCCACACTAGCTCGGCAAATTTCCCTCTTTTGCTCCCGAGTTCATGATCGAAGGTAGCAATTCTCTGTATCTTTGGTTTCATTATTAGTTATTATGTCAGAAAACATATAACTTGAAACATATATATATATATATATCTAATTCAGTTTTGATGATGTGACTGTTCGAATTCTGGAATCGATTATGGCATCTAATGATGTGGAGTCATTGCTTGGAGTTGGATCTGCTCTGAAACAGTTTATGAGAGATGAATCTATTCTCATTTTCAGAGAAATTGCTGAAGAATCTGTTGAGATTAAGCTTTTGTTTACTGATTTTCTGATACGTGCTTTTGCAGTGATTGGTGACGTTGAGGTATTAGTTTTAAATCTCACAGTTAGAATAAATTTTGGACCAAGTAAGTGTTTTCTCAAAGTTAGGATTCTTTGAGTTTTTGACAGAGTTGCTTGGCCTTGAGATATGAAGCACTTGTTATGCGGGAGCAGAAGGCCATTGATGACCCTGGCCTTCAAGTAGCTTGTAAAGAATGGCTAACCTTAATTGAGCATTTGCTTGAAAATGGATTTCATTCGGTTGCACATCAGGTAAACTGGAAATTACTTGTTATGCTGTATGATTAGATCAGCTAACATTGGCTGCGAGTATTAACATGCTAAATATTGTTTCATCTTGAGCCATTAAATTTCCTATAGGCCAGATTATGTGATGCTGTGATGTTAGGATAGCTTTTCTGATTTCCGAAGAACCAATTTTGAAGACGGTATGTGTCATGCAAACCTTTTTTGTGCATGCAGAAATTGGGAATCACCTCTGATACCATAGTTTACTTTGGAAGTGTCAAATTTAAGTATATTTGGACAACATGACTGTTGTCAATGCTCGCAGACTTTGGCCTCATTATCATGTTCTGCTATTGACACACACTCATTTTCAACACAAGTCTGTTGGTTATAAACAATAATCTAGAGTATCATGCTATGCTTTTTCTCATGTTTCTCAGTTTTAACACATCTAAGTTCATAAAGAAAATGGTTTTCTTATTTATACTTGCCATAATGTTTATTTGAGGATCTTTCTTAGAATAAAAAAGGAAGATAGTCTTCTTGAGGTCACGTGTTCAAAAGTATTGAATTTCAGTTTTTCTAGTGTTTTTATTTTATTTTTTTATTCATCATTCACCCACAGATTCTTGTTTTCTTATGTTAAAGTTTCCTTGTTGAACATATGATGAATTTTCTTTTACTGACATCACCTTCTGATTTCCTATCCTTCTCTTGTAATGTGATATCTACATTTAATTTTAGGCGATAATTTTTAGTTCTTTTATTTCCTTGAAATTGAAGGCATGTGAAAGGGCTCTTACATTCCCTAAGGTGAATGTGGGTCATCACCCCAAAATAGATGATTTCTTCAACTACATGGAAGCTGTCAAAAAGATCAAGGCCTTAAAGGATGCTACTCTCAGCACAATTTCTTCACAATCTGGTATGCATTTCAAATTTCTGTTCTTTTAATTATCAACCTCTATTCGATAATTAAAATTCATTGACCGCATTGGTTTGGTATGTAATGTTGGTTATTTATTTATTTATTTTTAAAGAAAACATTGATATGCACTTCATCTGTATGTGCATTAATTGGATTATTTGATGGCGCTGGCTATCTGAATCCTTAGTAGGTGCTTTTCACTAGTTGTTGTATATTAATTAGTGTATAAGGATGCTCTCTTGACATATTGCATGGAATCTGTCAATAATACATGAGTTTCTTGATAATGAAAGGAATATGATAGCAATTTGTGGAGTTGTAGTGATTTCTAAACCTCAGCAATAAATTTGCTAGCAGTTAGATTAAGCCTCTGGATGAATGCTTGCTTGCGAGTTGCTATCTTCTAATATCCAATATTATGATGGAAATATCTAAAACAGAAGTCCATAATTTCCTAACAATGGGCTTCCCTATCTGGATGACATAAATATAATTCATCTGCTGATAGAATACAGCTCATTTATCATCGAACCACAGTTATAGATGTAAGCGCATGCTGCTAGTAGTGGAAACACAGTCATTCAATTGCACGCAAGTGTCAAGTACTTGACTAACCCTACGAAATCTTGTTTGTCCGGTGCTCCGCTCCCAATCTTTACATATCAAAACTTGTGTATATGCATGCAATAAATAGATTTGGTATATATTATTAATTTTTCATGAAAATCAATCAAGCTATAAGGAAATAAGGAATGCATGGTTGCTATCGATTGACACACCTTACTCTTTCAACTTGGATTCAATCGAACTTGGACTGCGGTGATAGTTTTGTGCATTGTTAACGAGCACAATGCTTGCTTTATCAGCACAACAGTGCCTCTAAATCTAGCATCTTGATGTAGAACACAATATAATTGATTGATTTGATTATGTTGGAGGATGTTTTTGTTTTTGTGAGGAATCAGTCCAAGCACAAGCAGCGGCGTACTTGAAGCAAAAGGTGGCGCAGAAACCGAGCCAAACTAGCTCACAAAATTCAGGATGCAGTATGTTTAGGGATGGGATAAAAAAGCATAACTCCAGGAGATTGCTGCATTACTATCAGTCTCCTCTACACAAATAGTTTCTTCGGGTACTAATTACTTCCCTTATCCCACCTTGCTTTCTTTACCTTGCACTTTTAATTCAAATGTGGCTGTGATTCTGGTGGATACATCATCACTGGATTTTTAAACTCATTTTAATTGTAATCAAATTAATAAATTTTTCATGAAAAAGCAACAACACTGTTATAGCTCAAAAACATGTTTCTACTCTACTCTATTCTCAATATTTTTAACCATTTATAATACAATTTTTTTGACCAAAGTCACTTCCATTAATTTCACATTTCCAACTTTTTTTTTTGTTTGTTTGTTTGTTTTTTTTTTCCAGCACTCTAATTTCAAATCTCCTCTTCTTTCCAACTCTCGTATATAGTTGAAAGATTAAAATAATCCTTAAAAATGTAAATATAATTTTATCCTCAAAACAAAAATCAAACAAACAATGTTTTTTTTAATAAAATAAAATAAAATAAAACACAATAGCACGACCGTTTGGGACGAACGAGCAGCATACGATTTCTTCATTTCCGCTAGAAAATATTTCCATCTTCTTTTTACCCTCCATTTCTGTCATTATTTGTTTCTTCTTTATATTAAAAATGGTAGATTGTTGGTAACTTTTATAGGTCAATATTTTTCTAATTTTATTATATTTAGAGTAAATTATACTATTTTTTTTTACACAATTTTCTATTTCACGCGTAAAAAAATAAATTCAAAATTTTTTAAATACTTATTACAAAAAAAATAAAAAAGTCAACTATTCAATTTAAAATAGTAATATATTTTATATTTTTAACATGATTTTCTATACCATACATGAAAAATTAATCAATCTAAAAAAATATTGGGTGAACCGATATAAAAAATATTGGGTGAACAGATATGTATTTTAGTTATTGTGTGAAATCTCTTGTTTTAAATTAAAGTCTGCACAAAACATATAATTTTGGATGTAAATACTTATCTAAATTTTGTGTTTTATACAAAAAAAAATTATATTAAATAAAAATTTTGAATTAAATAAGTAAATAAATAAATAATTGATTAATTATTTATTTTTATAGTTGTTTTAAAAATAAATTGTTATCCAAGTTTTACAAAACTATACAAATGAAGGATTATTTATTTATTTATTCAAAATAGATTATTTAAGATACTTTCTCTTTTATTTATATAATTTTGAATAATTTAGGTTCATATTTACAACCAAAATCAGTTTTTAACGAAGAATGTATTTTATACAAACTTTAATATAACACAATGAATAAAATATGTAGGCTCTATTCATGCAGTGTTTTTGGATGGAGTGATTTTTGGTGTGTGGTACGATAAATTGTATTAAAATATAAAATATAGTATTATTTTAAATTGAATATTTGACTTTTTTGACCTTTTGTAATAAGTGTTTAAACTTTTTCTTTTAATTTTTTTTTTTTTATGTGTGGTATAGAAAATTGTATAAAAAAATATAAAATATTATTTTTAAAGAATTGCAATGCCAAAAAATTGTGCACAAACTGAACCATAGTGTTTTATATATTTTTATTAAAACTTGAAGATTATTTTTAGAATGAATGTGTTATATGATATCCTTTTGTCTTTTAATCATAAATATAGTGATATTGGGAGAAGAGACTATGTCTAATGATGAAAAGGACTATGCGACTATAATAGAAGCACGCGTTACATTAATGAATATATATTTTTTAAGTTAGAGAGAAAACTAGATACATTAATAATAATCCAATAAAATTTCAATACATCACTCAACTACAAAATGTTACAAATATAATTTGTATGCATATAAATTTGAAGGTAGCGGCTGACATGGTGCTACTACTAAATAACAAGACAATCCGCTGTTCAGATCCTCACATAGGGTGCTTGTTTATCCAATATATTATAAATTTATTATAATAATTAGTAAAATATTACATAGTTTGATTTCCCATGTCAGACACTAAAATTCAATCAAATAATGAAATGACGATAATGAAATTAAAACAATTGGATTCTTATCCTAAAGGTCAAATGTTCGTAGATGCAAATGAATTGTCAAATTTTGAAAAATTATATTGTCTTCAGTACCTATAAAAAAAAAAAAGAAAAAAAAAAAAACTATAACAAGAGGACCATAATTATATGCAATAAAGAGGACTTCGAGTGGATATGCAGCTTATCACGTTACAAAGGGTCTATTTTGCATTTTCAAATGTAATATACAATATACGTGTGGTGAAGGCAATCTACAAGATTAAAGTCATATAATATCTAGCCTCTCGAAACTTACGCATGGTGAGATCTTCTAATTAGAAATTTGAGGTCATAATTAAAAGAGGATAATTAAACATCAAACTTTGAAAATATAACATGTTTAGGCAATGAATGACAATTGCATCGTATATTATGCAAGGATGTTTTTGCATGTATTGAAGAAATCAAAATATCGGAGAATACTTATTCTGATGAAGCTTCTTCTATGAATATATAAAGAGGCCTATAAGTTGCAATCATTCCTATTTCAACAACGACTTAGAAAATATAAGGTTGATTATGATGACGTGATAAATGCTCTAATAGTGTGCTACAACCTGAAAGGACTAAAAACTCCATCAAAATTGGAGGTGAGGGTAAGAAATGGCAAAATTTGCGGTAGAACTAAACATAACCACCACACTTGCATGGAAGCTCTATTGTAGTTTTGTAATTTGTTCGTACAAAAACGCTTGTAAATTAACTATAGTATATAATATATTACAAAGTTTTAATGCTTCAAATTTTTTAATGTTGGTTGTTAGTTGTGTTGGTGTGTGAAGGTGAAAGAGGAAGAAAATGTGAAAGTCTATCCCATATTGGAAAAATTAAAAGACTCCACCCTCCGTAAATATAATATGCTTTTATTTATGAATAAAAGAATTAATTGGTTGGATTTGGCTCAATTGTGAATGAGCCTAGCATTGACATGGACCATTGGTATATATATAAATATATATATATATATAGTCAAGATTGGGCCTTGGGCCTGCGGGGCTTGTGGGCCAGGCCCAATTGCAATAAAATTAATTCAAATTTTGTATTTTATCTGATTAATAAAGTTGTTGCAACAGAATGCAACGTGTGTTAAATAGTGGAAGGTGATTGCTACTTTTACGGAACTTTAATTTAATTTTCTTTCTTAAATTTAATATCAGACCCGCCATAAAAAAACTCAATTTGAATCAAAAAATTTAATCTCTGTTCTCTTACTCTCTATTTTGTTTTTCTTTTAATTTCCTCCAAAAACTTCCAAAAAGTTTTCTTAGTTTGGTTTGTGGAGGGATTGTGAATCCTTAATTGATTCGTTTTATCTTGGAAAGCAACCGGTGGTGGGCCGAATTTACTTTAGGAGATCGCGTGCAACGCGAAACTCGAATATGTTCTTAATTAGATCTATTATCTTATTTTGATTTGCACATCTCGATTTTCAATAAAATTTTCGTCTAACAATCCTGAAGCAAATTCCCATGTGAAAATCTGAGATGACTGACGAAATTCCCCAGATCCATAATCAAATCGCGGCTGCCCAGATCATACCTGGAGATGAAGCAATGATCGACGCGATGAACGATCCTGACAGAAATCTGAATGATGACGTTCAGAATGGTGCAGACGGAGACGAGAATGAGGAGGTGAATTCCAGCGAGTCTTACACTCCCGCTCATACTGTTCCATTATCTCAACCACCCTGCACAACCGGTGAAGCCGCTGAAATCGCTGCTGCTAGGCGGCCAAGAGGGCTGTTGCGGAAAAGGCTGCGGAGGCAGCGTACAAACAGGCCTTCAAGGCCGTAATGGAGGAGGCGCAGCCTGTTGCTGCGACTTCCAACCAGCCTATTGCTAGACTGCAGAAACGGAATCCTGTTGTTGCAGCGTATGGCTATAGGACTTGCGCAAGGTCTCGTTGTGTCTGCCGGATAACAACTAGACGAGTTAGAGGGTATACAACCTATTGCTGTTACGGATCATGTAATGAAGTCTGTTGCTGCAACTTTCAAGCAGCCCGTTGCTGTGGCAGCCGATAAACCAGAAAAATTCAACAGGAAGAATTTTAAAACATGGCAGCAGAAGATGTTGTATCTGACCACGCTGAATCTGGCAGATTGGCTGACGGAGGATGCACCAGTTGTGCCTGAAGGATCCTCGGAAGAACATAAAGCAAAAATTCTAAAAGCCTGGAACCGTTCAGACTTTACGTGCAAAAATTATGTACTGAACAGCTTGAGCGATTTCCATTATAGTGTTTACCGGCATGCGCTAACGGCTAAGCAGTTGTAGGAGACGTTGGAGAAAAAGTACATAATCGAGGATGTTGGTGCAAAGAAATTTATCATCGGATGGTTTCTGGATTTCAAAATGGTCGATGGAAAAAGCGTTATGAAACAGCTTGACGCGTTTCAACTAATTCTACATGAGCTCAGGCTGAGGGGATGAAGCTGAGTGAAGCTTTCCAAGTGACAACGATAATTGTTAAAATTGCCACCTAGTTGGGGTGATTTCAAAATTTACTTTAAACACAAACGCAATGAAATGGATATGGCGAGACTGATTAATCGTCTCCAAACTAAAGAGGAGCATAGATCGAACCTGGCAAGCAGGGGACATTTGATACTCGGCAGCAATGCAATGTAGTCGAGCACAAAGGCCAAGGCTCCCGTTTCAAGACAGCTCCGAGGAACAATGAGCAACTTGGAAAGAACTGGAAGCCAAAGGGAAAAGAGAAAATGAAGCCATCAGACGGAGTTGAAAAGGCAAAAAGTACTTTCAAAGGTAACTTTTCAACTGCGGAACGGTCGGACACTGTTCGATAGACTGTAAGGCACCAAAAAAGAAAAAAGAGACGAATTAGGCACACGTCGTTACTAAAGATGAAGAGCCACTCGACCTGACATGTGTTGTCTCTGAGGCAAATCTGGTGGGATCAAACAAGAAACAGTGGTGGCTCAACACGGGAGCAACACGCCATATCTGCATAGACAGGAATCAGTTCTCTTCATTCGAGCGTGTCGAAGGAGAAACGATGTACATGGGGAATGCTGCTCCTGCTGAAGTCAAGGGGAGAGGAAAGGTGCTTCTGAAGATGACGTCTGGAAGAGTCATGACGCTAAACAATGTCCTGTACGTGCCAGCAATGACGAAGAACCTGGTCTCAGGGACGCTCCTGATGAAACATGACTTTAATATTAATATGAATTGTGATAATTTTGTTTTGCGTAAATTAGGAGTGTATGTGGGTAAAGGTTATGTAGAGGATGGACTTCTGAAATGTTGTATTATGACTATCATTGAAAATAATAATAATAAGTATGTTGCTTATATTGTTGACTCATCTACTTTATGGCATAGTCGATTGAGTCATGTTAATTATGATTCAATTCTTCGATTAATTAACCTAAACCACATTCCAAATTTCGAATTAAATAAACATAAATGTGAAATTTGTGTTGAAGCAAAACAAACTCGATCGTCTTTCCAAACTATTCATCGTGAAAGTGAACCACTCAAATTGATTCACAGTGATGTATGTGATCTGAATATTTTACAAACGCGTGGTGGGAATAAATATTTTATTACATTTATTGACGATTGTACAAAGTTCTGTTATATTTACTTGCTTAAGAGAAAAGACAAGGCTCCACTCATTTCGAGGGTAACCCTAAGATAGCCATTACGTCCAATACAATGGCGGTTAAGATCCCAAAATGGAATATGAAAGCGGCGATGTTCGAACTCCAGAAACATAATAAAGCCTTAGTCATAGGAGTGTCGCGGGAAAGGGAATCGGCACACAGCGACAACATGTCTCTAATCCCCCAAGTTTGCCACAATGCATCAAATGAAAGTCCTAGCCTATCCATCCATGATTTGAATTATAAAATATCGCTAGGCAGGCGAAATATGTGAGAAGGAAAACTAGAAAAGTTAAACCAAGATTGAGACAATAAAAGTGTACCCCCACCGAGAATGTTGTCGAAGCCCTCGGATGCACCCTCGTCGTCCATCGCAAACGGCGAGAGCACACGTCAACTACCAGTATAGGCTGGAACCGCATTCCTCGGGGTCGTCGCCGGGATATGACTGGTTCGGGCATCCGGTTTAGCCCTAGACATTAGAGCCCCCCCCCTATGGTGCAAGAATCGTGAGCCACCACTGAAAATCGCCACGAATCACCAAATCGAGCTGTTAACCGCCAAGTACTGCGAGTCGCTGCTAGGAACCACCAAGAACCGCGAATCGCTGCTGCAAACCCTCTAGTCACCACCATGAACATCTAGAATCGCCAAAGCTGTCGCCGAGAAATGCCGAATCACCACTGGAACTTGGGTGTTGAAGTCGTCGCGGTTTGTTATGGAGGTGTGGGGACCCGACGTCACCGGCATAAGATAAAGGAAGAAAGGGACGGTGGATGATTTTTGGGGAGAAAGGAAAGAAAAGATGAGGGTTTTTGGTCGATCGAGGAGAGAGAAACCGAGTACCCCGAATATGAAATGAATGTGAAGAGACCAAATGGAAGTGATTGACAAAGGATGACGATGACATGATATGATACCTGCGTGAAGCAGCCGATTTGAAAATATCCAACATGGACAAAATTATTTGGACTATAATTTAATTTTTGTCCTAAATAATTTTATGGGGGGCATTTGTAGACACCGAAAATTAATTGTGCCTACCCAGTAAAATCATAGCCTATCAGAAGATCCAGATCAACAAATGGGCTTGCGGGGCTGTCCAGCCCAATGCCCAACTCGACTTAGAAGCAACCCAACGAGGTAGGAAAGTCAAAAAAATGGCTAGAAAGGTGGTTGAATTTGTTGGAGCAAAAATAGGGATAAGACTTTATCCAAACAAATTCAAAAAATAACAAGATTGAGGGATCCGGGAGGAAGAAGAGGGACACGCACTTTCATCACGCTTCTTCATCTTTTTTCTTTGATTTTTCATCTGCAATTTTTCATTAATGTAATTTTTTTTCCAAATTTTTACAGTTTTCTTCCATTAATTTCAGTTTAATTTCCACCATTCTTTCTTGTTTATCAACCTTATTTTTTACATTAATTTTTTTTATTATTGCGAGATAGACCGGATCATTTCTTGAGGAGGCCGGGGAACTATTCGAATAAATCAATTCCGACAGGCTTTCCTGATTAAGCCATCAATGGCGATTTTTAACGAAAACACCTATAAATACAAATGAAGGTGATAGCCATAAATCGCATGCGTTAAATATTTATATTATTTGCGATATTTGGTTGATGTTGATTAGATTCTACTTGATTTGGGTATATATTATATATTTATGATTTGCAGGAGAAAAATAATAAAATTGATAGAATTAGTGGGAAAAAAGAACGAAAAGGTCCAAAGCCCAATTGTTACAAAATTAGGGCAAATATAAAGGAAAGAAAGAAGGGGGAGGCGCGACTTTATGCCACTTGCGGAGGAGAACACCGTGCAGAATAGTCCCAAGGAAAAACCGTGCAAGGGCAAGAAGAAGAAAGATTCTTCCAAGAAGATTTCGAGTTCTGCCCCTACTAACATCATTCTCAGGCGATGTTTCTCTTTACTTCATTTTCCTTTGTTCTTCCTTCTATGATTAGCGAGTAGTTTACTTTTCTAGTTTAGGAGTGGAAAACAACTTTGTATGGATTTGAGAGATTAGACTTGTTTTGATTTATGATATTTTTTTGGTTCCTAAGTATTTCTGTGTCTTATGATTTCTTTGAGTTATAATCTTTTATTTGGTTGGGTATTGTGACCAGGTATTTCAATTAGATTAAGAATTGATTGCTAAACTAAATTAGGCGTCCGTAATTGCGTTTTAATTTGGTTCAAGTAGCAACTAGTGGCAGACACCATTAGGAAATCATAGAATCAATTTTAAACAATTTTGCATAGTTAATTGTTAAATTGAATTAGGCTCTTCTAGTTCAAAAGATGGTTAGGCTAGTAAATTCTTTATGGCGTCGCTAGGGTTCTAGTCTAACTAGGGAAGCAGTTGACGGACGTACCTAGACTGTCAAGAAATTAAGGAAGAATTGGTTATTAGGCGCGTGTCGGTAACTATAACTAATTTATTTAGAAACCAATAAAATTAAATATTTATCGATGATAATCCACTACCCAAGTTGTCAATTTCATTCAGAAACTGGAAACTTGTTTTTATTGAATTTATCTTTTAGTCGTAGAGTTTTTAGTTTGTAATTTTATTTTTATTTTCTACTTCCAAAATTCCCCAATTTTATTATGTTTATAAATCAAACAATAAAAAATAAAACATTTTTAATTTCCTGAGGAGACGACCCTACTTCATCTATACTGTTTTATTTTTATTGCAGGTTTTATTTTATTTTATTTTAAATTTTACAGCGTGTGATAAAAAGCATGTCAGAAGGTACTTCTATAAAATAATAAAAAAAAAGATCATTTATAATATCAAACATATTAAAATAACTCATATTCAACCCGATTGTGCGATACAATGAAAGTAAAATGACCCATCACCGAGACTTGTATAACTCTAACCAGGCACAAATAAAATAGATCCAAGTACACCATGGGCTAAAAAAATTGATTTTACAAAAAAAATATAAACTTTAATCTACTTTTTCAAACTCCGCTTGAGAAGGAGGTCTTTTCGATATCTCAACTGAGATCGGATCTCTCGGCGATCTTCCCGATGACGTGTCGGAGGTTTTCGCAGGGAGGCTTAGCAACAATTAGTTCAATAAGGGTCTTCGACGGGCAAGGGTAGCGTAGAAGGGGAAGAATTTGAAAGAATAACTCATCAACAACGTCGAACGCTAAGTTTTATTAGTATTTTGTTATGATTTTAAGTTTAAATTACCATAACTAATTGTAGTACATAAATAAAAATTCGAGATTTTTGATATTTTTTTTATACAACGGAATAATTTTACAATATATAATTAAATAATGTAAATTTATATAAAAATAATGAAAGTAAAAATAGCGAAACAAGTGCTCTATTCATTATTATTATTGTTATTTTTTATTTTTTATTTTTGAATAATGTTTGGGCGAAACTTCTAGAAACAAAGTAATAATTTTATTTTATTTTATTATTAGTATTTTTTTACGAGTCTATCTATTAGGAGTATTATGTAGGTCTAGTGTAATAAATTGGAAATTATAGTGAAAGAATTGGCAGAAGCAGCAGAACTCTCTGGAGAGTCGTCCTTTGAGGTCATCGTCTTCGCTATTATACTTGGAATTCCCAGGAGCCATTACTGTCCATTATACCTCCACAGCTACGACCGAGCCTGCTCTGATTTGCTTTATATTGAGCTCCATTTCCCTTGATCTCAAGCAGCAGTATTGTTAGGGCATAAGGGGTTTGCTGAGATGGATGGAGATTTTGAGTTCCCAAATCTCGGAGGCGAGGAAATGGGGATGGGGATGGGGATGGGCATGGGGATGGGGATGGGGATGGGAATGGGAATGGGGATGGGGATGGGGATGGGGATGGGGATGAATGATTATATGGGAGCTGAGAATGACATGGACCTTCCCGTAGAAGACCCTATTCTGGCAGTTGGTGAAGAGGGAGAAATCGGGAAGAATGGATTGAAGAAAAAGCTGCTCAAGGAGGGCGAAGGCTGGGAGTCTCCCAATCCCGGCGATGAAGTTGAAGGTACAGCCTATAGGCAGAGAATTTCTGCTTTCTGTTTCCGTTGCTACATCTATGTTTTTATTATGAATGCTGGAATTTGAATGAAAGGGACTTTGTTGATGCGATGCAGTTCATTATGTGGGCACTTTGCTTGACGGGACTCAATTTGATTCTAGTCGTGACCGTGACACTCCTTTCAGGTTCAAGCTGGGCCAAGGTAAATGTACTTTCTGAAATTTTTATGGTGTCTTTACAGTGATGGGATTTGGAAGGGATGAAAGCTATTTGTTTATATTGTCAAATTAATGGAAAAGTTATAGTGTGTGATCTTTTGGTTTTTCTTTTTTCGTTTACTGGTTGATTGATTTCTTTTTGTGAGTCTCTGTGTGTGTTTTGGAATTAACAAAACAATCCCCAATACAGGTCAAACAATTCTTAGGATTCTATGTTGACATTGTAGTGTAGTGTAAGTCTGTCCCAAAACTAAGCTGAAGCCATATAGGTTAATGCATAATTATTGTAATGGTAAGTTGAAAGCTAAACTTAGATTAGTTTGCGGTTGGCTTAGTTTCCTGTTGTGTTTAGCCTAATTCATGAGTGAGAACCTATCAGTTTCTAGTGTCTGTGAAGCTTTATGATGTAGATTCTCTGTCAAACAATCGGGAGATGACAGAAAATCTCACTTTAGCCCAATTCAGCTACTTTTTACCTTGCTCAAAACTTTTGGGTTATTATCTTCCATTGATTGATATGCTATAGTAAGGAATTACCATTTTTCCTTAAAATATGGTACCGACGATTATAAATTGTAGGAATTATAAGTAAAAACAGGAAATCAGAGATACGATGATTGAACTACAATGTTAACATTGGGTATAATATCATAATACAAAATAAATTATGCAACATAATGTCATTTATAAAAGCTGTATGTCTTTGAATACGTTATTGAATTGAAGTAAGATTTTATAAGATATTACAGACAGTGTGAGTGTTCTACTATGAAATAGCTTGGGAGGGTGAGGGGGTTGGCAAAAATATAAACTTTCCGGCTTTGAGTTCCAGAAATCTTGATGACATCATGGTCGAAGAATGAAATAGGCAAACTATACTCCAATAATTATTTTAGTTGTCAGTGTGAGTTTGTTTGGAGGTTTAGATTTGAATACTTGTATGATGTGATATAAATAGGTATTGATGTGATATTTGGTTACTAAAATTGATTTGAATATAATATAAAAAGAAAAAAAACAGGTATTTGATTGGTTGTTTTGGGGAATTTTTTTATGAAGGGTGGAAATTCACCAAAATCTTTGAAAAAAACACATACATAGTATGAAAAATGAAAGAAATTATGGAGTGAAGTTAACACTGGGAAATATTTTCGGACTGAGGCAACTGATAAAAATCAAAATCACTGAAACTAGTTTTGCTCTCAAACAATTATAGCACTATGAGGCAATATGTTCTTGAAATTGATCATATGTTTTTCTCATCATTTTTTTCAAAGTGGACAATTACAATCATATTTTCGAAACTTCTTATTTTATTTTAATATATATATATATATTCCTTTGTAAAAGTATTCTATGTTAATCATATATTTAAATATATTTTTATTTGGCTGTATTTTGTTAAATTTTTATTTAATACAAGATAATATGCAAATTAAGTATAGTTTATTAAAATATAGTTTTCAAAATACTTAAACATATAATTTGACTTTACATTATATTCCAGAACCCATCAAAATGACATTACATTCATCTCATTTTAAAAGAAATGTAAAACCAAACACCTTAAAAAATCCAAACAAAATAAAAATATAAAAAAAATCCAAAGCCCATCCCTAACAAGTGTATTTGTTTATGAGTTTTGTAATAGTGATGCGATATAAATATGTTATTTTAAAGTAATATATATATATCTATATAAAAGAGTCTTGATTTACTGTTTTTGGATGAAAAGAATTAGCGAATAGTGAAGTCTTGGGTGAAAACGCACAAACAAACATAGCCTTGAAATTGTTTTTGTTTTGAGGGGTTTGACTTAGATTTTTGCTATTAATAAAGTCCAAAAAAAATAAAATTAAATTACTATTTTTAATTTTTTTATATTACACTAAAAATTAGTTTTATATTTTTATTTATGACATTTAAAATTATTACTTTTATATATTACGCTAAGAATTAATTTGTCTTTTTCTACATTATTTTTCACTAACAATTTTTACTACTATTCAAAACCAACACTCAAACCCAACGTGTTTATTTTCTCTACGATAACAATGGTTTATTTTAGTTGATGTAAATGACATGGTGTTTACAGCGTTTACTGCTTTGTTGATTTTTTATACAAATATCATAATTAATTAACATTTTCATGAATTAGGATGGAAAATGTCCGTTCCTTTCGTTGTGGGTGTTCTTGTTTTGTTTCTGTATTAAGGTAAATTTGTTCATGATGCAGGGCATGTGATCAAAGGATGGGACGAAGGTATCGTGACTATGAAGAAGGGTGAAAAGTCACTCTTCACTGTTCCACCTGACCTTGCGTATGGAGAGTCTGGATCTCCTCCAGCAATACCTCCCAATTCAACACTTCAATTTGAAGTTGAGTTGCTGTCTTGGTCAAGTGTGAAGGATATATGCAAGGATGGAGGTATATATAAGAAAGTGCTTGTCGAAGGAAATGGCTGGTCGAATCCTAAAGATAATGACGAAGTATTTGGTGTGTATATCCTAGCTGTTTTCTCTATTCGATTTAGCTGCAAAATGGTTTGTTTGTTACTCATGCATCCTTGAGTGTTGTGCAGTCAAGTATGAAGCTCAGATTGAAGATGGAACAGTTGTTTCGAAAACAGATGGAGTAGAGTTCACGGTGAGAGATGGTATGTTCATATGTTGAGGTAGTTGTCATTCTATCGACCGAATCCATTAAGCAGGGTATGCCTTTTAACTTTGATATGTCTGTAGGTTATTTCTGCCCGGCTATCTCCAAAGCTGTGAAAACAATGAAAAAGGGGGAGAAGTCACTGTTAACAGTCAAGCCAGAATGTATGTTTTCATTAATTGTTATACAGTAGTTTTTGGGAGCTGTTACTGTGGGATTACTTACTCTGAAAATATGTCAGATGGATTTGGTGAAAATGGGAGACCATCCAATGGTGATGAACTTGATGTGCCGCCCAATGCTACCCTTCAGATTACGTTAGAGCTGGTCTCTTGGAAAACAGTTTCTGATATCAGTGGAGATAGAAAAATTATAAAAAAGATCCTAAATGAAGGCGATGGTTATGATCGTCCAAGTGATGCTGTGACTGTGCAAGGTATGCTGTGTCTACTGATAATACTAATCCATCATTGTTTTGTTCTGGTGGGTTGTTTGGCCTTGACTGCTAATCATTGTAATAGTGGATTGTCGTATGCAATTTTAGAGTGTTTTCATGTTGTTGCAAGTAGAAAATAAATGTTGGAACTTCTGTTGGCTCTCTTAACATCAAAAAATGGAGTCCTAAGTTATGAAAACTTGCCTTGATATTTTTAAGTCCATTAATCACGTTCACTTACCTGCATATATTAATTTTTGTTGCATCTAAGTATTTGATTGCATGCCATATTATAATGCACAAGTTTAGTAGGTTGAGTCCTTATTATGATAAGATGATGTCTCCAGTTTAAGTCACTTCTGGTACGTGTTAAAATTTTCAGGCTATATACCATATCTGATCTCGTTTTGTGATACATTTGGACCCTTGAATGACTATACCAAAGAAATAGACATCATGATGTGCAGAATTTTTCTCTGAAATTGATTTTGGGTCCCTGCAGTGAAATTGATTGGCAGGCTTCAAGATGGAACCATTTTTGTCAAGAAAGGACATGATGAAGTACCGCCTTTCGAGTTCAAGGTTGATGAAGGTAATAATTAGGATACTGCAATGTGCTCTGACTTTTTCTTTGATTTTTGGTTTCTAAATAAAAATTTATTTTTACAGATCAAGTTATGGAGGGACTTGATAGAGCTATAAAGACAATGAAGAAAGGGGAATTATCACTTATTGAAATTCATCCCGAGTATGCATTCGGGCAATCTGAATCTCCACATGAGCTGGCTGTTGTTCCTGGAAACTCTATTGTATACTATGAAGTTGAGATGGTGTCCTTTGAGAAGGTTAATGATATTTTAATGTTCTCTTATATTGTCTTTTGCTCTCGTAGAAGGAAAAGCTGGTTTGTTGTCTAGTTCTGACATCCAAACAACGACATGCAGGAAAAAGAATCTTGGGATATGAATACAGAGGAGAAGATTGCTGCTGCAGGGGTGAAGAAAGAAGAAGGCAATAAATGGTTCAGAGCCGGGAAGTATCAGAGAGCTTCCAAGAGATACGAAAAGGTCTGCCACTATTGATTTCAGTTACATTGTAACAGTTAATGACTTCTTAATCTTGATTTCTCTTCTTACAAAACCTGCTGTTCATAGGCTGTAGGATTTATTGATTACGATCACTCCTTCAACGAGGAAGAGAAGGAAAGGGCCAAATTACTGAAAGTGTCATGCTACCTCAACAATGCTGCTTGCAAGTTAAAACTGAAGCAGAACAAAGAGGCCCAGAAACTATGCACTCAAGTGCTAGAAATTGACGATAAAAATATTAAAGCTCTTTACAGAAGAGCACAGGCATATATGAATTTGATTGAGTTTGAATTGGCTGAAAATGATATAAAGAAAGCGCTCGAGATAGACCCAGGCAACAGGTATGTTAAGCTATCCGCCGGCCTAGTTTATAAATTGCATCGAGTATGGAATTTTTAGGGTTTGTTGATATGCATGACAGGGATGTTAAATTAGAATATAAAACCCTGAAGGAGAGAAGGAAAGCATACAACAGAAAAGAAGCACAGTTCTATGGGAACATGATCTCGAAAATGAGCAAATTGGAGCAACCTGAGCCTGCAGTGAGTGAAGATGTTTTGTACCTTATGCAACTTTTATTATTTCATGGAATTGATAAATGGAACAATCCATTTGACGTAGTGCTTGTCTGGAATGCAGAATGTAGCTGAAAAGCAAGGGGTGTTCTTGACGGCGATGAATAGTAAGGCTTAGAACTGCTATTATATTTGAGTTTATTAGACTTCTCTTTTCCTGCTTGATATAGCCTCTCTTTAAGTTCGAAATTAGTACAAGTTCATGATGATTTACTGCAAGGGGTATTATAAAATGCACTCTGAAATTCATGCCTTTTTTTTTTTTTTTTTTTTTCCGAAGAAACATCTTCTGAAGATATTCCTGCAAATTTTTTAAACACTGGTTGATGCTTGCAGGAGTGAAAAGATTGATAGTTGAGGCGGGGGCTTGGAACGATGGAATTGTATGGTTAATATCATCCCTGCTGATAGTAGCGTTCGCCGTTGCGATTTCGTGTGTTTACGTGAAGAACTAACTCAGGTAAGGTATGTGATGATTTGCAGCACAACACGTTTGTTTGAGATAGTGAAGTTTGTTGTTGTAATTGTGCAAAATAATCTCTGCGGCAGCCTATTTGAAGATGTAAATGTGTTTTTATCAAAAAAGCATGCATAATAATAAGATTCCCTGATTTTCTTAAATGTTACTTTGTCATACAGTGATGTTTTTATGAGCCGATGTAAGATCCATAAAGAATATATAGAAAGCAAATTAGATATAAACTATATAACTAATATTTTATACAACATATATGGTTTGTTATATCAGCAGCTGGAGCTGTTAAACGAGGCAAGTGAGTTTGAGTATCCATTGTTCGAGCTTGACTCAAACTTATTAACGGTACAGGCTTAGTTCGGCTTGGCTCGTTAAAAATTTAAGCCAAAATAATGGCTCGAGCTTAACTCATAGGGCTCAAATTCAAGTTCGAGTTTAGCTCGTAGAGCTCGAACTTAAGTTTGAGTTCATCTTGAATTCTATATATATTTTTAATATATAAATGAAATATATTTGATTTTATTCATCATTTACTATAATAAAATATTCAGATTTTATTAATAAATGCTCTCTGTTTCTGTCAAGATGACTGGTAGGACACAGCATTTCAACAAGTGTAGATTACAATAATGTGATATTATTTTATTTTTTTATAAGTAATGTTGTTAATATTTTAAATATTTTTACCATTATATATATGAATATTATTTTGTAAATTATAAAATTTTATATGATATAATTAACTTATAAAAAATAAAGAATTTTAAATATAGATAAAAATATTTGTTTATTGAATAGAGATAAAAATAAAAGAGTTTTGAGTGGGTTTATGTGTGAGAGATTAAATATTTAATTAAATTGATTTATATTTGTTAAATAAGTTTAAGATAATAAATGTATTAAAAATAGAAATAGGTGACAGACAAAAAAGAGAAAAGAGTTATCTGTGTCACTGGACAGAGAAAGTATAAAATTTGATATAAAAATTATATATATTATATTAATATATCAATAATAAAAATATATTATTACTAACAAGTTCAATTGAACTACTGGTGAGCTGAATTCATTTATTGAAAAAATAAGAGTAAAAATTATTTTTTTCCATTCAATATCATAATTATCAATTTTGGTCCCATTCAAAAAAATTTATCAATTTTGGTCCCATTCAAATCAAAATTTATCAATTTTAATCTAAGATGGTTGACTGAGACCGAACACGGCCGTGTTTTGGATGACTCAGAAGGTGACTGGGCGTCCCAGTCAGCAAACACGGCTGTGTTGATTACCCCGCACTTCTGAACACGACCGTTTTGTTGCCTGTGTTCCTGCCAGTGTTCTGAACAATCATGTTCCTGTCACGTTCTCAACACAGTCATGTTCCAGTCATATTCCTGCCTATGTTCTCAACACAACCATGCTCACGACTATGTTTTCAATATAATCATATTGTATGTCATATTTATTATTATTTTCACTTTTTGGTTAAAATGATTTGATATATATATTTATAATTCAACAATTTTTTTTTACAATTATTTCATAATATAAAAAAGAATCATTTTTTAATATTTTTAAATTATATAAAAATAATAATATATTAATATATATTTTTAATAATACTCACTCCGCCCACTTACTATGTTCACATTGCCGTTTCAGTCCGTCCCATATCCCATATCACTTTTCTTTTTTGGAAAATAATTACACAATATTTTTTAATTTTAATTAAACTAACGAATTATCTTAATTTATAATTATTTATATTATATGATAATTATTTTCACTAATACATTATTAATTATACTTATCCTAAATTCTCGTGTCTACAGTGACCCAGACATTCAACATGAGACGGAGGGAGTATTTTTTTAAAATATTATTTTGAATAATAAATTTAATTTATAATTTATAAGAATAATTAATTGAAAATAATATTTTAAAATTTTTACTATAAATTTTAAAAGTATATACAATGGTTATTAAAAAAATATATATTTATATATTTTTAAAATATTAAAAATTAATTATTTTTTATATTATGAAATAATTGTAAAAAATATTTTTGTTGAATTATAAATATATATATCAAATAATTTTAACCAAAACATGAATAATAATAAATATGACCTACAATATGATTATATTGAAAATATGGTCGTGAACATAGCCTAGAACATGGTTGTGTTAAGAACATGGGCGGGCAGGAATATTTTAGCCTAGAACATAACTGTGTTGAGAACATGACAGAAAATGACTGTGTTCAGAACACTGGCAGGAACATGGGCAACAAAACGGCCGTGTGCAGGGTAATCAACACGGCTGTGTTGGCTGCCTGGGACGCCCAATTTCAGTCAACCATTTTGGGACTAAAATTGATAAATTTTTATTTGAGTGGAACCAAAATTGATAATTATAATATTAAAATTTTACTCAAAAAATAATATTAGAGTTCGAGATCAACTTGCTTATCTTTGTACACGAGCTAAGTTGAGCTATTAATGAGTCGGATGGAACTTGGCTTACAACTGACTTAAGTTCATCTAACAGTTTTATCAACATTATAACCAAAGCACTCTCATATATTGTTCGGTTGGAGTGAAGTTGGAATCGTTGGGGATTTTGTTAAGATAGTGTTTGGTCACACTTACAAATGATTATTGGTAATGTGTTAAAAGTCTAAAGCTCTGTTTATGTGGCCTTATTGTCATCATTTTTTTTAATAGTAATTTAAAATATATACTTTTTTCCGTTCCATATCTATTTATCCGTTTATTTTTTGCATGAAATTTGATGTAGTAGAAATAAAAGTAAAAAGATTAAATTAATATTATTAGTATTGTATGATATAAAAGTAATAATATTCGTGTAATATATTATAAATTGAAATGATATTTGTAATATTAGGTAGATAATATATTTATTAAAAATAAAAATAAATACTTTATTATGGGACAAACCAAAATAAAAAATAAATAATTTATGAAGGGATGAGACGGAGAGACTAAAATATATTTATATATTTTTTTTGTAAAGACTTTACATTCAAAAATCTACTAAATCTACTTAAGATTATAAAGATTAATAGGTTAACGAGAGTAAATCATGATTTATTTGATTATTTCTTTTACGTGGACAATATTATTAATAGTACTTTTAATAACTGTAATTAATTTTAACCACAAAAAAACAACATAATTTTGAACGGCTTTCAAATTACAAAAAACAATATAAAAAAAAAACACAAAAAAATTGCTAAAATCAATAAGCTATATCAATACATAATCAAAATTTCCAAAATTATAGTAGTTATGGATATAGCCAACAATTCAAATACCTTCATTGTAAAACAAAAACAAAAACAGAGATTACTCTGGTAAGGGATGGTCTGGTGGTGTGGAAATGGACTCGTAATCGTGAGGTAATAGATTCAAATCCCGACGTCTTCAGGTCTTGTTTGCCATATATGGTTCACCTAGTGTGACTTGCTTTGTCGGACCGCGCATCCGAAGGGTAGCGAATGCGGATTTCCACGTTATAAATAATAATAATAATAATAATAATAATAATAGAGATTATTATCATTACCATAAATAATCATATTAAATTCTATTGATTAAATAATTAACCGATTTTTCAACCTTTCCCACATGAGTGAATGTCCATTAATAGGGGACAACACACATCTCAGTTTCAGAGACATCGACACATCAGGATAGGTAGCTTGTGGATTTGAATCTTCCATAGTCAATATTACTGTATGTACTGGTGGCCTAGTTAACAAGATCCATTGAACTATTCCACTTTTACGTACATTTTATACAATAATATTGACATGTCGCTATTTGAGCTACATTTTGTTCTCACATTTTAATCCGCTTCGGCCATGGATTACATATTTGAATTCGTAAGTGTTTCATTTGAAACGACTATCACTTCACACTTATATATGTAATCATATTTTAAAATACTCAACTTTACTTTTAGGATTATTAAGAAATGGTGACTCAACCTCACCATTTTGTACTTCATAACACTCATAGTTTTTTAAGAAATGGTGGTCGAGTGTTCATACCGATCTATTAAAACTTAGTTCTTCCATTGAATCAAGACTTGGGATCTCCAAAATATTTGATTGGATTATCATTGCAGTTGTCTCTTAATTTGTGGATTTCAAATCCATTTAATTTAGCATTTTATACATTTGATCACAATATAACCCTTTTGTTAGCGGATCCGCAAGATTTTCTATTGACATGTAGTCAATATTCATAACCCTATTAATGATCAATTGTCTTATAGTGTTGTGTCTGTATCGAATATGTCAGAATTTACCATTGAAAATTTTATTCTTAGCATTTGCTATTGTAGCTTGGCTATTATTGCCGGAGGTACTAGTTTCTTTTTCAAAATGGATCAAATTATACAAGTTTGTTTCATGGACTTTCACGAAACTGTTTCACCTACGATTGTGTAGACATATTGGCTTGTACACAACGAATATTTCATGTCAGATATCTCGTTACCATCACAGTACCCTTCAAGTAATGAAGATATCTTGTGTAGTGCATACCAAAATTTGAGAGTATATTTCAAATACCTCAAGACTCTTACTAACAGTCCATAATATGCATACCAGGCTGAGGAAGGCTCTGACGGCCCATGACATACGAGATCTTGCGCAGCTCGCATCAAAGGCAGGACATTTGGAGTCTTTGTTCAAAAAGAAAGACCAAAATTTGAGGAGAGGAAAAGGTTCCAGCAAATGGCCAATATAGGAGCGGACGTTTATACCCCCGAAATAGCAGATTGCAAGGGAATAGAAGAAATGGCTGCTGAAGTCATTAAAGGGAAACCTTACGTCTGTTCCAAATTAAAAGCCTACACCAGGGACGGAAACCAACAAGGATCAACCTACTTTTGATACGTCTAAAGCCGATGAATCTTTGATGTATTATTGGCTTATGGAAAAATCCGCATCCTGAAAGGACAGAGGTTGGCCACTAAGGAAGAGATCAAAGGGCGACCATACTGTAAGTGGCATAATTCATTTACGCACAATACGAGTCAATGCACCCATTTTTGGAAAGAAATACAAAAAGCCATCCCAGAAGGAAGATTCAAGTATGTCACTCTCGGCGTTGAACAACAACCGTTTCCGAAAGTCACTATGGCTACCATCGACATGGGCAAAAGACATGAGTCCAGGAGAATGTTAGAAGTTTCG